AATTTAATTTTTTAAATGTAAAAAAGCACAGAAAATAAAAGTAGAAATAGTTTTTAAAAATACAAAGGCAGAAGGGGAAAGATAAATCAATTGTTTATGATACAGAATGAAATGAAAGTTTACTAACAGCATCATACTAAAACCGAATTAACCTACCTCATCCTAGTTTGGGCCATTGAGGCCCCGCTAACGATACAGATTTGGGTATTTTAAACTCGAACGATCAGTTCCTGCTCCCGTATTTCGGGTGGGGAAGTAAACACCAGGAAAGATGTTTTGTTACGTCGATCAAAAATTATGGAGCTACCCACCACAGAATGACAAGACACGTAATAAAAAAAGAAAAATCTGGTCTTTTTTCAATTAAAAAATATTTTACTTTATGTTATTCCTTCGCATTTACGGAACAATTCTTCGTCGCGACGTACAAATGGCAACCACAAATTTGTATTATTCTGTGTTAAAAGTTTATTTATACTTAATAACTTCCTATTTAAAAGTGTTAATTTTGCTAAATAATCCTTAATTTTTAACAATAATTCCGTTAAAACATTACACTAATATAATTCAATTATTGTGTTAATCCCTTTATAAAGGAACATTTTTGATACAATAAATAAAGGCAAAAAAGTGTATTAAAAAAATAAATAAAACGAAATTTTATTTCTTTTTAAGTAAAATTTTTGCGGTAATTTAATGCCGAATTTATCAATTGTACGAATATTTATTACGAAGAAAAATAAATTAAAATACACACAAAAAAATTTAATAATAATAATATAAATATACATAAAAAAGTTTTATTTTAATTAGAAAAATCACAAAATAAAATTCCGCTAATGGGATATACATCAATACCGAGAATAATAACGATTACTATATGAGCTAGCAAACATTTACACAAGTAATCCTATAGAATTCTGTATGTAATTTCCACATTACATCATTCGCTACAGGCCTACATATTTTTTTATTTTTTATTTTTTTCTATATACCGGTCCTTTTTTTTGTTGTTCTTTTCTCTGCCGTTCGCTAAATGATCCGAAAGAGGCGTGGAACTAATGTACGTCGTCACTAAACATCCTCTGACGTCACCAGGTGACGTCACTACTCGAGGTACTTGTTAGGATTGCGGTCTGTTATCAGTATAACAGCCGTGCTGGAGAACATATAAAAGGTTGGAGTGGCGAGTGAAGGGGTCAATCGGGACCGAAAAACCCCGCTCGTGACTCTACAAAAGTTAATATTAAAATATACGAAATCTACGGGAAGTTTTTTTTTTTAAATTATATATCGACCATGGATAGTCTATCAAGGACAATAACGGAATGGCCTTGTAAACAACTGCCTGTTACCGGTAAGTGTTTGCCCACATTCAAATTGATCATAGGTATAAACCCCACACGAAATTTTTTGGAGCGAAATTTCGGTTAGGGACCGCGTTAAATAGGGGGACGGGGCGAGGAGGAGTCGAAGGTAAAACGCTCCCGGTATAACGTATACCCAACAACGTGGTTAGTTTCGTGCCACGTGCTCTATATCGATCTGTTGGTTCGTCTAGTGTCGTTTTACTGTGTTAGAAAGTAACTTGAACTAATTTTAAAAAGTTCACGGACCGATTACTCTATTCGCTTTAACACTACTAACTTGTTTTCTAGTGTTTTTCCTATCGAGTTTTGTCTTAAGTAGACAAGTGTTTCGTTAACGCACGCTTATTTTTTATTTTTATTTCTTTTTTTTTCGCCTTTTTCTTCCTTCCGTTGTTGCAAAATTGGCGCGAATTATAAAGGTGAGTGTGTTGAATTTCTAACTAAATGAAAATTTTGGAATTTCCCCGCTTACTTTATTATATATTCGTGTGTTTCTCTATCTAAAATCCGGCTTCCTTTCCTATATTTACCTTGTGTAAAACTATTGGAAAGTCCCAATAGGCTCGAAAAAGTGCGTAGAATGGTGTTTTAACGCGTAAATATTTTCGAGAATTTCTTTATTTTTTATTTTAACGAATGTAAAAATTAATTTTTTTAAAGAAAAAATGAAAACTTGTGAATTAATTGTTTTTTATTTGTTTTGCTTGCAGTAGTTTTTGTAGCATTCATTTTATCGTCTCTATCGAGGTGTAACCCCATCTCGACGTGTGTCGAAGAAGAAGTTTTAGTAAGAAATCAAGCGTTTAAAGATAGAATAATTGATACGTATAATCGCAAATTTTATATACTTTCACAAACGACAGAAGAACAACTGGAAAGTTGGCGTAACGAAACACTGAATATTCTACTTGCGAATATCCAACAACAAAGAAGTGTTGCAGAAACAATAATCAACGAGGTGAGTATCCTATAAGCTTAGATTATATATACACACACACAGTATAGAGATAAATGTATAAAAATCCATTCAGATAATGGGATTTTTAACCATAACAAAACATATTTTCGAATTCTTTTGTTGTATGTTTGGTTAAAACGTTACGACATCCGTAAAATTCAAATTTATGTCCCTGTGAAGAACATAATGTACAGTATAAAAAAATAATAACCTTTTAAGTAGGTTGTTGGCTTTTTAGTAGGCAGATTTATACACAAAAACACTAGAACGTAACACGGTTTTTCCAGAATTAATTTATTATTCGAGCGAATTTTTAGTGTTTACCATACCGTCTTAGGGATTAAATGCCGTACCGGACGTCACTACTTTTATCAATTGTCCGGGAATTTGAATTGGCGACGAGAATACTTTCGATTTGGCATAATTTATGGAGTGGCGAAGTGTATTTTTAACACCGAAAGTCGAAGAACGTGTCAATGAAGCAGCGCATTGAAAAAAAACGAAAATAATGGATTAAGTTACCTCATCAATCAAACATAAACCCGCAGTTCGACAATAATCACGCCGACCAGTCACGAGATCAGGCATACGTGGGTGTCACAATCACGTGAACCGGCATAAAGAATAGATCAGAACTCATCCCCGCTGGAAACAAGAATGAGAAGGACAAAATACCAACCCCCTTCTCGTTGATGGCCAGACATGACGCCAGCCACAAAATTTTTGCTTCTTTAAAAAGGCAGAGAACAATGAAAAAAAGAAAAAAGAAAGAAAAAAAGAAGGCCTTCACTAGTCAAACGAGTTTCTCTTTCCAGGGTATATTTGAACGAACGCGCCGAAAAGTACATTCACAAAGTTGTAAAGGTCCAAGATAATATTCACTTTAAAAATTGCGTAATTTTTCAAAAGTTACTCTTTCTTGCCGGACAACAATCGTGGCACACTGCCAACTTGTGTTTGTGCGTGCGTGTGTCCGTCCGAGAGGTGCAATGGACCCTTCCGTGCCGTAGAGATGGCACGGACAAAATGATCGTCACTCCTAAACAAAGAAAATTTACCGATGAGTCAACACTCCCCATTGGTTTAAACTTATACCATTTGGAATTTTCTGTAGCATCCGCCTGTACTTTTTAGGCATTTAGCCGGAAATCCATTTTCGGGGGGTGATTTTGCATCGCGTGCTACGATGCAATGTCCACTTCCTGATGACATGTTGCATGCGCTCGGATTGTTTCTGTAGCGTACGATGTTTTATTCCGAGCGCGACTTGTGTGAGAACGATGTTTTGTACGTCACGCGATCCGCCAAAAAAATATGTGTAATTGCTCAAACAAATAGTCTATGCTAATAACTATTTAAATATTTAGTATTTACATCGCTCGCCATTAATCTGTAGCATTCATTTCGCCGATAATCAGCTGCAACTCTATTGTTACGTCGCCTACATTCATACTGTTAGGAAAAAACTTGAAAACTTACTGTTTATATTATTTACCGTTAATTATGTCGCGATACAATTAAAAACTGCCGTTAAAATTCTTTTCCATTGTTAAATACACACAGTTAGTCGATCACGTGTTATTGTTTATCATTTTCATTAACTTTCTATTTAACTAATCACCTTTAAATGAATTCGATTGTTACGTTACGTTCTATTTAAAACATATTCCTACTGAATTTTCTTATATTAAGTGGAGTAACAATACTAAAATTTAAAAACAAATGGAAATTCCCTTACTCGAGATGGCGTAACAATACAAAATTCGAATTTTCTAACGTTAAGTGACGTATAACAATGCTAAAATTTATTAACAAAAGCGAAACTGAATTTTTTAACATTAAATGGCGTAATAATTCTAAAATCATTTTAAAATAAGCAATCATTGAAAATAAAATTAGCGCCAAATGCATTTATTTTTATAAATAACAATAAACACTAAATTTTCTAGTACTGTTAATTCTTTTACTTCTATGTCCTTACTCTTTTAAATTTCTGTGTATATCCTGTCTACTTGGACCTTGTTTATTAATAGGATTTATTATCCTGGTGTAGTTTTTAATTAACAAACAGAGATCTGTGAAAATAAAAATATTTTGCTTAATAACTTAATTGCAAAACAAAGGAATAAAAATTAATAAAAAATAATGAAAATTAAATCTTTTACAAGTTTTTAAGTGAGATGAACATTATATTGTTATAATTTATGCAGTAATTATCATTAGACTGTGAAAATGGTAATGAAGTAAAAAATTATGGATATCAATGAATCAAACTTACGGATTATGTGCATGGTAAAAGAGAAGTTTCTTTGCATCTAGCAATGTCNATGATGTGAGAAAGGCCATCAAAAATGATTTTAAAACGAATATACATTAAAGCAAACTTTAAAGCTATTAAAATAGATAAAAAGCGCTATTGGTGCACAATTGACGATTTATTTTTAGCTGCTATAATCGGAAAAAGTTTAATTTAATGTTCACATTGTCCAAAAATTTAAAATAAAAATGTATCGTGACGTCACATCCCGCAATTATTTCCGGTTTTGACAGGTGAAACGGACAAGCGACAAAATTGTGACGTTAAACCACGAAGCAACAATATTTCGACAGTATGCTGCAAACAGGAACCGCGGGTTACTGAACTCGTTACACCTATACTAATACTGTATATGCCTTTTGATTATCATCAAAAAAAACTACATAAGAATTACACGTGTTCGATATACACATAAAATCCAAGAAATGCGCCTAAAAATCTTCTGTTTTTACATAGTATTTATATTATTTTGTGGTAAAAAATCACGTGTTTAAGTTAGTTAAAGGGTAAAGCCATTTCTAAAACACTTTCTGTATTTGCAAGTAAGATACTTGCAAGTGCCTCAGAAATAGAAAATTCCTTTAAAGAAAATAGTGTACTTGCAAGTATTGTAACCTTCTGCTTTCGTATTGCCTTCTGTTAAGATATAGTGTATTAAATTATGCCTTAACGCGTGCAGTAATATGCCTTAAAGTATCGATTATTGAAATTTTAGGGTATAAATAATCGTTAATACATAACAATTTATATAATATTTAATAATATGATATAAATATTATAAAATTTAAATATGTGTGCCTTATTCGTGTTGTTTTATAAAAGTAAGATAAATATACAATAAAGGTGCAAGCATACATAAATTTTATATTATGTTTATAATGCACACGAAATTGTTTTTATTCAGTTATGACACTCGTAAACCTCCAAAATAATCTTTAATTACTGTGAAAAACGAACAAAAACTTGCCCAACTTTAAATTTTTTAAACATAATTTTGATATATTTTATTTAATATACAGGGGTGGCCCAAAAGTCAGCTAACTTTGCAAGCCATTTAGAAGTTTAAGAAAACGTGTCGTTGCAACGGTTAACAGACTTTTGAGTCACGATTTACATTTATAAATATTCGTACACGATTTTTCAATGCCGTAAATTAATTAATTATTTATTAATTTTTTCTAGATGACGAGGAGAGAATTTTGTTCTTCGTCGGACTATGGTAATTTATCGAACACACCAACAACAGACAGTCTTCTGGTATGTACAATAGCCTACATTAGAATGTTTTACAGATTTTTCTAAGCGGTAAATTTCACTAAACTCTCTTACATCTTACAGAATTTAGCAAAGGATGCAGCTTTGTTGAAACTTCACATTTCATTAGTCAAACATTCGTCCAACGTATTCTTTACAAATCAACAAGTTAAACCATTGATTCAAGAAGATTCGGACACGATAAACTCGAACAGCAACGAGAAAATTGAACAGCTGGCTGCAAATCTACTGGAAAGCGCTCACACCCTTCAAAATGTGATCAAGACAATAAACAATGAGACAAACTTTACAGAAATGTTGAACAGCGCGTTAGATCAGAGTCTGACCAAACATTGTTCCCCCTCCAAGAAGTTTCTACGTTTATGCCAGACAGTCAAAAGCAGCTATAAATTATTACAAACGGTTTCCGATTATGTCAAAGGTAATTTTGTGTTGTGATCCATTTTCTTAAATTATTAATATATATATATATATATACGTATACATTACAAGAATGCGCACAATACTTAAGAAAAACAACACGAAACGTAAATTGTGTTCTTCCTTCACAAGAGGAAATTACGTAATTGTGATATACAAATGTATATTTATATATATATTTTTATATATAGACTGATACAGTCTATACGTACGTATATAAAGATGTCAGCCAAGCGGATTTTATATTTATATATACATATATATGTATTATTTTTTTAATCAAANGTATTTATATATACATATATATATATTATTTTTTTAATCAAAAAAGATATACCTTTGACTCGTTTTATAAACCCAAAATTCGAGTAATTTTGATACACCGGAATATTCAATTTTTTTTTTTTTAATTTAAGAAATGAAAAAGAAAAAAAAAAAACACTACCCACCCCCGTGTCTAGTTCCTTCGTACGTCAACAGATGGCAGAAAAGATGTAAAAGGTTATGCCAAAGAATACACTTGAAAAATTCGCGGGAAATGGTGCCTTTTTGAAAATGGCGGATATTTTTTTTTACTCTTTGTGATTTTGTAATACACCCGTTAAGCCCACTTTTCTTTGTTTTATTTAATGTACATTACATGAATTTTTTAAAAAAATGCCCACTTCTTCATTGTGTTTGTCTGCATCTCTTAATGTTGTTGACGTCCATTAGAGATGCGGAAAATAGTTCCTAAAAAAATCGAATTGTTGTTGATATTTCTGTACTTAGAAATTGAAACAAAGTAGATTTTAAAAAAGAAACTAGTCTATCGACAATCGACACCGAATTTGTATTAATTACAATTAATTAATTTAATAATAACAATTAATAATTGTGGCATTATTCATCCGTCCTTGGACTATGCAAAAAATGTTGTTGTTCTTGTTTTTATATATATATTATATATATAAAACGGGAATCATTTTATTCATCTTTCATCGAAATATACGAAGAAAAAGAAAATTTAAAGTATGCTTAATTGAAGAAAAACAAAATATCAATGACAAATTATTTATCACCACGTCATTTATTTATTTTTAATTTATTTTTTCATCATTGATGCTCGTTTTTTTATAATTGTCCGACGACTTTTTACTAGAAAAAAAAAGAAAAAAGGTCGTTATTTTTGTAACGTGTGCAATTTTCAATTTTGTAAATAAATTTTTATAATATTTAAATTATTATTATTGTTGTTTTTTTTGTCTGCTTTTTTTTACACGCAACCGGTGGCCGAGTGGATTCGCGGGTTCGCGCTGGCCACGTGCAGTTTCCCGAGTTTTTTTCACGTGTCTAACACTCGAATAGGGGACAACTTCCGTTAGAAAGTCCATCCGGAATGCATCCGATCTCCACGTGTTGCCTCGCCTCAGTGCCGGCCCGAGGCAAGTTTTAGGATGGAGCTAGATCCTATTATGGTGCCCCCCTTGGACTTAGCGCCTGGTGCGGCTGCTCCGTTCGCCCTATAGTAGGGCCGGCTTTGCCTTGCCTTATCCCATCCATTCTATCCCATAAGAGCTGGTGTAGGCCCACACTAGGGGTAGTAAGGCGCGTTAAGGCTTCGTGGGGCCCGGGCAAATTTGAATTAGGATTGACTGCAGACATTTGGCACCATTGCAATCCCAGATATGACGCCAAATTTCAACTTCGATATTCTTACTACAGTAATGAGTTTATAAAATGCTGCCCTTTTTACCCATAGGATAACGCGCCACTGAATAAGGAAATGTACCTCATTATTCTTCCCGTGCACATATTTCGGAGGTACTGGATCCATTTTTCACCATTCAAAACTCGTGATGAATAGTGAAGAATGGGTTCTACATACATTAAATTTTTGAGGATTCGATTCGAACACGAAAGATCCTCAAACGGAGCCTCATCCATCCTCTCAACATTTATTGACTATAATTACTAATCAAAGGAAAGGAAATTTGGGGATTTAAATCCATTCAGTAAGGAGTTATATCTTCAGAAAAGGGCTTAAAGGTGGGGTTATAACTAAAAAAGGCGAGAAAAATATTGGATTTAGAAGCGTGGTGTTTTGTTTTTCGAAGTTTTTGGATTAATTTGCAACATAAAATTGCTAAATTGCAAACTTTATACAGTAATAATGGTTCTGTAAAGAAATACAGAATATTTTAGATACGACATCCGCTCGGAAGCATGGGCTTTTGGATAAAATGTGGTTTTGGTATTAAGGAAAGAATATAGAATTCCATTATGATAAAATATAAAACTTATAAATGCTCTACTTCTGAAATTCTTGAATAAATGTTGTATATAAGTAACGTGCACTCTCATTTAAAAGCCTCTATTTGTGAAGTTAATTCATGTTATAAGAATACTATTTTAGAGAAGAAATTCTTTTCTGTGAGAAAATTTGGATATGTGATTTATGAAATAGTCTCAACATGTTTTAATTTTAATTTTTGGAGTAAAATTCTATATGTAAGGCTTAAAAATGGCAATATTTAGCCTCTAAGACATAGAAATAAAATAATATTTAGCTGTGATTTAAGAATATAGACGTTTCAAATAACTTTGCTATAAGAGCTTGAAGTATATGAATACAAAAGTAGAAGGCTTTTTAAGATAAAATCTGTTTTATCGTTAAGAAAAATCATAGAATATTAGCAGAAAATAGTAAATTCTAATTACGAACAACGCAAAATACATTATCTTTGACTAGAAACATCAAAGTAAAAGTAGAAACATTTAGGAAAAAAGTCAAAAGTTTACTTGTAATTTTCTAATAAAAATATAAAAATTTCCATAAATATAGAAATAAACTTTTACTTAATTACGTAAATCATAACTTTTATTGAATTCACAGGCATTTAATTGTTAAAAAGGTGAATTATATCTCCAATTTTAACGCTTTATTGACACTATCCATTCCAATTTTACAAAAGTATGTCTACTGTTAACTACGGACCAACCTCTATAGTATCTATAGTAACACACTACAATTTATTTATTATAATTTAGCTTACATTTTTTTACATAATTAGACTCTACATAAATATACTGGAATGACGGCGTATAAACACAGTACTACATTGTTTCAGTTAATATACTGTACAGCACGTTCGTACCTGTAAGCGGGTGACAAAACACCGTATTAAAAGTACAAACGGCGCCTATAGATTAAGTATGGTGTGTTTTTTTATGGAAAAAATCTAACACGAATAAAATAAAATATGTGGAAAAAAATCACAACTCGATACATGGGATAGACGAATTGTTTTACGATTTTTCGGTGTAAACCTGAATGAGTACAGGTAGAAAGGAAAACCAGTTAAAAATCTATCGTGTTTATGTTTGCTCTGACACTAACTGCCGTCATTTCCTGTCTAGGTATGTTGTTAATAGTAAGTTAACAATTGTGACCACCGACTCCACCCAAATAACACAATGAATAAAAATAAAAATAAAAAATATTTCGGGTCGGTCCACTAAATGACGTATGAAAGTAGAATATTTGAAATTATATAAATAGTTACTTATCTTTTATTATATAAGTGTGTTGAGGTCTGCTGGAAAACAGTATCGAAATCCCAGTAGTCCTTCTGCTTAATATATGATACTAAACTGGTTATGAAACTATTACTTAACTTACAAAGAGGCTCTTTCATTGACTTGAATGTCGACCTAGATATTGTCTAGACGAAAGTTTGACCAAGGATAATTTTAAACTAGGGATTAAATTACTGAATAATTTGATTAATGTAAGCCTACTACGCTTAACTCTTTACTTTTTTCCCTCTGATGTACTCTGATTTTTTCTAAATTCCACTTTAAATGTTCGTTAACCTTGCAGTCTACGAATTTCCGAGGTAGTTATATAATCTGAGTACAGTGCCTTATTAAATTCATTTGTGTAGCTATGACAATTAAGTATCGAAAATTATGTACTGTACGAGATGACATGACCAGTCCAGAAAATTTTTCACTCTCGCATACTACAAAAAATTATTTATAAACTATTATAACTCGTATTACGTGTAAAATGATAATTAAGTTATTAAGTGTGTAAACTGTCGATTATCCATTACATGATTGTTTGTAAACTATTAATAAACCAATAGGTTAATGACGATTATGTGTCAAATAGTTAACAACCCGATAGGTTAAAAGCAATTGTGTATTAAACAATCAATGACCCAATAGGCTAATGACAATTATGCGTTAAAGTTAACAACCCAATGAGTTAATGCTAATTGTGTTAAAAAATCTCAGTAGGTTAATGACAATTGTGTTAAACAGTTAACAACCCAATGGATTAATGACAATCACGTGTAAAATGATAATTGAGTTACTATTTATTATCCATTACACGATTGTTTATAAACTATTAGTAAACCAATAGATTAATGACGATTATGTGTCAAGCAGTTAACAGCCCAATAGGTTAATGGCAATTATATGTTAAAATGTTAAGAACTCAATAAATTAATGTAATTATATATTAAAGAGTTAATAACCTACTCTTATAGATTAATTCCTAAATTGTCAAAACACCAACAAACTTTGTAATTTGTAAACTGTCAGAATAACAATACCCTTTATATTATTTGATTGTTAAATAAGTCTGTAGATAGTGAGCGATAAGCATAAATTTTGCTCAACAGAACTAATCACACAGGGTACACGCCAGTAATTGACTATGCCAACTTTATCATACAAGGAAATGCATTTTTCGACCTTCTGTCCCTCTTCAATCTTTTATTACAGATCTACTTAATGAAACAATAAATTATATTATATAATTCTAATACATTACACTGAATACATAAATACACACATTTACTATATTTAAAACTTTTAACGCGTATGTTATATATTCAGTGTGATGTATTAGAATTATATACAGTCGACCCCCCTATAACACTGTTGACAATTCCGTTTTATATGAATTCCATGTTGTACGAGTCACTTCGATTTTACAAATACGTGTGCCGGGCTGTGAACGGCTCGCGTATTTATAAAATCTAAGTGACTCGTACAACATGGAATTCTTATAAAACGGAATTATCAACAGTGTTATAGGGGGGTCGACTGTAATAGTATTTACTGTTTCATTAAATAGATCTGTAATAAAGGATTGAACAGGGGCAGAAAGCCCGAAATGGGCCTTCATTTCTCTATTATATGCCGACTATTGTATCATACAGCTGGCATAATCACACGATTCGGTGATAATGTCCTTTGCAATGAAGAATTTGGTAACTCGATCCGTTCGCGAGCATCGATTGGGCGCTACAGAAAAGGTGGTTACATCGAGGTTCGACCGTTGTAAATTGTTATTAAAGTAGAAATAAAAAGAAATCAGGTTTAAAAATAATAATTTTTATTGTTATTTAATGAATTTTTCGAAAAAAATTCGAAAGTAAAACACTTTTTTTAGACCAATTCTCATTTTATTATTATTTAAATATATATAAGAAAATGAGCGCTTTTTTAAAAATTTTTTCGATAACCGATCTTTTTTTTACTACAAAAAATATGTTACACGTCACTTCGTCGCTTACAATTAATTACTCTTTGGTATAACACCATCAAAAAATACTGGAATAATAGGAAAAAAATCATTAAACATAACATGGTAGGAACTTTTCATTTAAGTTGGTGTAACCTTCTAAAAAATCTTCTACACTTTAAAAATTATTGCTTTTCTTTTGGAGATTATAATTATGGGAAGAAAAAGTCGTGACTCTTAACTTATAAACGCGAATACTTAAAAAAATAATGTCGCAAATTACACGTAACGAAAGAAACTTGTATACACGAGACAGACGATGTAAAGTATATGACTCGAAGATAAAAAAAAAAATATATATAAGTTATACATAATTAACGATGAACTCAACTGGCCACAGTTCTGTTAAAAAAGACGTCAACACAACCTGAACGTAACTCATTGGTCTCGAGTTGCACTTGTTTGAATATTCAAAAAAATGCAGTTGAGAAGAGGTAGGCAAATATCGTTAAGATCGTGTGAATTTTTACAAAGTTTGTTCTTTATTTTACATTGTCTTTGGTAGTCTCTTCGTGTCGACGATTGTTAAAAATTTAATTTATTTGGAAGAGTTATCATCTACGTCGAGTGTTGTTGGCAGTTTACACGCACGTAGCCGTTCACAACTTTGCTCCTTTTTCACTACTAAGCCACGTGTCTTGGCTTTAAATAATATACTCTTTACACTACTTGGTCTTCGTAACACCTTATTTCACAACTTTGGTCTTCGTTACTACTTCATTACACAACTTTCTCTTCGTTACTGTGTTCGTTATACAACTTCGGTCTTCGGTATCATATTGATTTACACCATACAATATGATTTTAAATACAATATTCGTACGCAATTTGATTCTCGTCCTCTTATTTGCGTATTTTTTTAAATATAAATAAATTAAGAAAATAAATAATGTGTATATAACGGATCACAGAATTTCCTTTTGTACACAGATTACAGTTTTTTCAATTAATTACTTTCGTGGGTAGATTTTAGATAATCGAATACACTAACAACGAAGTCGACAGCTTTGATATAGTCCCGCAATATAAGATAATCCCTCAAATTACGGTGGGTTTCTACTGTAATGTTTCTGCGGGTTTGTTTCATTATTTTTCTTTCCACATCTGCGTTTGGTTTGATTCCCAGGATGATCATGCTTCTTTGAAGTTCGCATAAAACTTGTACCAATTCATTTTCAGCATTTCTGAACAGTTGTAGATACATTTTCTGATCCAGTTGATCCAAAATTGCTTGCTCCAAACCAACTGCAAAATATTGAAGCGTTTGGTACGAAGTTCTAAACGCTTCGTCTCTCTGAAAAAACAACGAAACGTTCAGTTCGGTTGATGCATTACGCTTATAATTAGAAGTAGACCCCGCTTTTACACCATCAAATGTCTTATTTGGGACCGTTTAAGCATTGTATCGGCAGTTTAAGTCAGCATATCTACTTTAACGAACATTTTCACAATACTCAAAGCCTTCTAATAGAACATTTATTATATTTACCTCTAAATAGCGGATGTCTCGGTCCCGATAGTGTCGCTATTTACAAGTTATACCGTATTTGTAGGTAACTAATCTAAATTTACTAGCGTAACTTACGGCCCTCACTTATACACACCTACATTATACTGTACTTACAGTATTACAGGGGTGAATGTAGGTTTGCAAGTTCTAATTTGGGCTTCCACCAGTTACGCTACTGTCAATTTATATTAAGCTTACGGGAATATGATTGTTCGGTTTAGGACGAGTAACGAGATATAAAAGCGGGGTCTACATTATATAATGAAATTAATACTAACTTTTAATTGTTTCAGATACTCGAAAGTTAATTTAGGTATATCTGGGAGCCAGACTTCTTTTTGATATTCCACCGACAGTTCGAATTCTGGTTCGTCGAATACTTTGTTCAGCTAAAATATAAATAAATAAATAAATTTTACATCTATAATTTTAATTTATTTTTACGAAATTCTAGAATTTGTGTCACTTTAAAATAAAGTAAAACCGTTATTTTGGAGTATAAATTTTATGTAAGATTCATTCTTTACAAATATATCTTAAAAATATTAATTATAACATAAATTATATAAACAGAGGCCCAGAAGTCAATTAACCACTGTAAAGATCGATTTGTTGTCTTATTTAAATACTTCATTTACGTACAAACAATACTTTTCGCTAATTACTGAATCGTTTGTAAAAATGTACAACAGTAACCCGAGTTTTGGGCCACCCCTTACACTCCAGAGAGGTAAAGAAACAAAGAATACGCGCAATTCGTCTGTTTAATATCTCTAGAATGCAATTTTTGGAATATAAATCAGAAATTTCTTCAAAAAAACAAGCAAAATAGAAATTTTTAGAAAGTTTTCGAGGTAAAGAATAATTTATAAAGCCAAACAATTAATTAAATTTCGATTTCCTTTAATAATAAAGTAAACATTTGGCGTAGTAACTTACATAAGTGTAATTTATTCAAGATTCGTAGAAGAATTTCCCTAAAGTAATGTTAAAGATGTTAAAATATAAATTGTTCTCGTGCAAACAAGTTTATAAACATAATGTATTTAAAAAAATCAAAAAATTCCCTAATAATTTGTATGAACGAAACTTACTTTTTTTCTAATTTATTAACGATTTATAACAATCAAAAAATTACGAAAGAAGGCCAAGGATATCTAAAAATATCACGGAATAATTGTGTAATGTCTTTATTTCCTTTCGACAGATGGAGCTGAGCTTCTGATTTCAAAAAAAGAAAAAAAAAAAAAAGACTTGACGATGACCTCACGGGGTCGGGGGCAAGGTCACTCGCACTCTTTCTACTTAAATAACTCGATCGAGTGAATAATTAATTTTATTCGTTTAAATATTCATTTTGTTAGAATATAAAGGGAGTGAACAGACTTAACACTACAGAAAAATATAATTGTATATATCCCGTGTCGAATGTAGTGTTATTCTATCGTGGAAGTGTTGAGATATTCGGGTATTGCGCAGTTGTAAGCTGTAAACAATGCCGTAATACGGGGGGAATTGTAAAGAAACTCTTAAGTGTAATGTGTAAGACGTCGTCCGAGAGAAAAACAGAGAGAAGAGGGGAGGACGCGTGTGACGTATAAGAAGATACGATAACAATTATCTTGGATATATTACTTCGTGCAGACTTTAATTGTTTTGTTGTGACTGTGCATCGGGGAGGAACATCTCTACGTATTTTATGAATATGCGTAGGAGTATTTTGTACTTTTTCTCACGGTAACCTTGGAAAATGCCCACCAATGTCTATCCGAATCTAATCGCTTCGCGTTTTTAACGCCCACCATTTTTGTGAATCTTCTTCTAAGTCATTGGTCTGGGACTTCGTCTCTTTGAGGGTTCTCTATGCGCCCTTCACCTTTAATATATAAAAAAAGCCATATCTTGCGCTATATTACAACTATAGCATTACGTCACGGATCTCGCGTGAAATTTCCTGAATATTAAATACGCTGGCTTAACACGAGAGCCCATAACACCGGTTTAACATGGGCTGATTTTTTACAAAGTTCCTCTCAATTCTTAAGAGCTTCGGAAACTGATTTTCAGAAGTCTTTTCTTAGGCTCTAAGGCATTCAGAAATTAACGAATTTTAGAAGGGATTATTAGCTTTAAGAATTTTACTTTTTTTATGAAATTCAAGTGTATCGTGTGTTGCATATTGCATATTATGGGCGTTAAAAATGATCCCACTTAATTAATTTTTTACAGTCGTAATTTTATAGGGCTTATGTAATGATGAATAATGCTTTATAATTAGAATGTACGGGATTTATAATTAATACACATTAAATTATTCTAATTTTAAAAAGGCCCGAATTATTAGTAGACTTATTAGTGGGATTTCTGTGTAATTTGATTGCTTATGGTAAAAATTAATGGTTACACGATGTTCCTATAGTTCTAGAATTTATTCTAGAGCAAAAAAAATCTATGCAGTGAATGACTTTATAGTATACGAGGGTTATAATGCTTTGTTATAGCCAAATCTATGCATCTATGGGGTGTTATTTTTAGAAGCGTAACAACTAGAGGCGTAACTGTTACGAAAGTTTGATAGATTAATGCCTTAATTTAGACGACTTTACATCTTTCTAAACTTATCTTTGGCTGTAAATATGCATTTCAGGAAGTCTGGAATACTTTAAAACTTTGTCACTGTTCTTATCTGTATAAAAATATTAAGCAATAGCAGTGTCAGCGAGCAGCTCTCGTCATAAAATAACACGTGTTTTTTTAATTTATAAACAAAAAAATGAGCCGTAATATTAAAATCCAGCGCCGAAACTAAATTTACATGGCAGAAAGAAAAATGGAAGCGGAATAAAAGATCAAGTTGTTGTTTTGTGCGCCGGAAAATAGGGTTTAAAAACGGGTTGTAAAAACAGTAAAATCATAAATAAACTTCTAAAAACGTTAACGAGATAAGAAACGAATATTTGAGTAGTCGGCTAACCTCAACTCTCAGGGTTAACATCGTTAATGACACCTGTTCAAAAGACGTACAGTTTTTTCCTAGTCTCCACATCGCATGGTGGAGATAAACCCTAAGGCCAATTTCTATTGTGTACAAAACTGTATTCCCCTCTGTTTACCCACCCCCTTTCGCATTATATCGAGGTCGTTTCCATGTGTCTTTTTCTCGCTTCGGCCTCACACAACTAGAGCAGAAAAGAAAGCTGCTGGAAGAAAGAACTTCTTTATTTTTATTTAGCGTTTTTTTAATGTTGTAGAATGGCGTACGCACGTACGCTTTGTTATTATTTGTCTCTACTTATACACACAAGCGCAGGTTATGACGCTTAGATAAACCCTTATCCTTTCACGATAAACGTACGGTTTCCTCTTTTCTGGATATTCATTTCGACATAGCGCGTGTTTCTATTTGATATTCGAGTTTTTAGAAGGGAAGCCTTTCTGGTGTTAAAAATAATTATAAAAAAAACTACTTACGAATGCGTCTTTGGTCCTCATTCCGTTCTGCCTTGCCACTTTGGCAGCGTGGAGGATGTCGTCGAATAACTGTTGGACTGTGGCGGGGGGTGCTCCTACCAAGTCTTCTTTTGCATTGAACACGTGACCGGGGATGCCGCACGGGTTCTTCCATCGTGGCTTGTTCGTTGGACGTAAGGGATTTTTCACCGGTGCTGCCGTAACGAAACCCGTCAAGACGGCTACCACTATCAAGACACCGAGACGACATTCTGAGAAAGAGAAAGTTTATCAGAAACAGACGGACAGACAGACAGATGCGTTATCGGTTGCTATTAAAAGCGCGCGCTCGGACACCTACTTGTTAAACAATCTAAGCAGCGACTAGACAGCATCAGTAAGCGTTGGATATCCACAACAATTCTCTGAGGTAGCGTAATAGGTAAAACAACCCAACTAGTGCACGTGAAGGTAGTGACTGACCACGCTCCACCACGACCATTAAATACATATGGCCACTTCGAGATATATAATGAGTTACTAGTGGGAATTACCTATAGTGTGTCCATTTCTCGGATTTACCCCCCTCGGCAATATTTGTATCGGCTTCAATGAGTGGTAGACAACTTGAGTATCAACTCGGTTCGAGGCGGCGATTGGCTAACCGGATAAGTGACGAATGCGTGACGTCAAAAGAAGTCAAGACGTAGCCTACGGTTCATTCATAATTTCTTGAGAGGAGCAGGGGATCGTCCAGTGGGCTAAACGCATCGTTTACTATTTTCTAAAGAATCGATTGACAGTTGTGGCCTAAAAATTGCTCAATATTATAAAACCGTACGTGTATACACACACATATACGTACATAAACACACGAAAATTCGTTCGTGTCAACGACGTCCTTGAAAAGATCTCGACGATCGTTAATACCTCGGTACATTCTTCCGAAAAGGATGACTACTCGCAGGTGTGCCTCTTCCTTATAAATATTATATACAAAGAAATTAAAAGGGGGATTATCGTTTATGACCTAACAATATTAATCTATCGATCTGTATATTACAAATGAGAGTTCTTGTAATTGTTTCCACCCCAGAAATGTCTTTCTAACACTTAGAATATTTAGCTTTTTATTGATTTTTCTTTTATGAATTACATTAAAGTTCAATATTTTAGGCGATGAGATCATCCAAAATAGGAACTCTGCCTACGATTGTGGTCAGTTTTTTCATCGTTTAGTTCGTTTTTCTTAGAACTATATTCTGATAATGTCTAACTAGATTAAGGTGGAGAAATAAATGTCAAACTAGGTCATTTATAATAAGCTTAAGCTATAACATTGTTATAAATAGATAAACAATGTTTTCGGTCGTGTTGCCTGCATTGTTATGCAGTCGTTCAGAAAGTTTTTTACTATCACATTATGCTTTAAACTCTTCAAAATCGACATTTTTTTCGTTTCTGCATCCTTAAACTCTTCAATTTTAATATTATTTTTATTTTTTATCCCTAATATCACGGTCTTTGCTATTACATCCTTATAAAAGCCCTTAATATTAAGATAAGTGCTCATTTTCGTATCCATAAAACTCTTGGGAGCCCTTTAAAATCGTTTTATTCCAGATTTAAATATCAAAATTTTTGGTTTTTTTTAAATATATATATACATAAACCTTATTAAAATCCCCTAATATTAAAATTTTCACTATTTTATAACCATAGATCGCTTAAAATTACGCTCTTCGTTATATACAAATACAAATTGTGTTTATAAACAATATCAACAAGCTTCAATGTCAAAGATCTATCATTATAATAATCTTCAATATCAAAGCTATTTTTACAGCATATTTCCTATTCATAGGTTAATATCAGGAAAGTCCAAGAGACATATTTTACTTATGTGTTGTGGCATTTCACAATTACTAGGTTTACGTAAGGGAATAATTTATAAGTACATTAACACTTTCGTTTCTTGTTTATAAAACACAATTCTGCACCAACACAATATTGAAAAAGTAAATATTTTTAAAAATTTATTACTTTAAAAATCTGGAAACGTCGAAAATAGATAAGGTTACGTGGGTGTTTCGATTCTATAAAGATTGTTCAATGTTTACTTGTGCCTATAATGGATAGAGATGGGTCCTACCTGTCCCTGCATTCCTCTTCCTAGTTAATAGATTGATTGACTGCCCGGGAGTTTGGAAGTGTGCCTCTGGGCCTGAGAAACCAGTGTCAAAAACATTGGACACGTGGTTTGATGTTATAATACACGCGAGCATTAAAAGAAACACCGGAGAGGTCTTTGTGTAGTACACTTATCTAAAACTGTTTTATGGTGATTTTCTGTAAGTAGAGACGGAAAATAACTCGGTTTTGTTTAAAACCAATCTTCCATTCGTCAGTGTTGACAGGCCTTTGCTTTGAACAGGATGTTGCTAGATGTTATCTTTTTAAATATGATCGCTATGCGACCGTGTAAAAGCAGTTAACGGATATACCACAGGCCATTAAGTGTATTTTAACCTATGCAATTAACGGTTAATTATTTTACCTTTGCGGCATCCAACTGCTGCATCGAGTTTACTACTTAAATATAATCCAATAGATAATCCGCATTAGCTAAGTAGAGCTGAAAAGATCACCTTTTGTTTACTTTTCTCTAAGGCGTTGCTAAATTAGTTTGCACTCGAATACTTTACTACGCCTCCAAATGGTCCTCTTTAAGGTATTTTCGAAGGGAAAAGTTCAAGTAGCTTTTTACGTCGATATACTTACACAAATTTCACTATAGGTTAAGAAAGTGGCGCAATTCACTGGATAAACCTACAAGTATGACCTATAAATTGACCCGTTTTAATGCTAGACGAAGAAAAATATCGAAAACGCGTAGAGATACACGTAATCTACCGGATATGACCTTGGTTTCCTTTGAAGTTTAACGATTTCTCACAAGTATAGGGGAGAAATGACGTCAAAATTATATCGTAGATCTACAGTATAGTGTTTTCCGTAACGGCTTATATCAACACCTTTATTTTCTTCACCGATTAAACTATATCCTGTAGTTGAAACTTTGTAAAGTTTCTACTCTCTTTATTAATTAATAATTATATATTAAACAATACGGTAAATACTTTACTGCACGAGGTCATTAGGTATACAAGGATACAAAGTCGTGTGTCTTGCTATCCCGTAATACCAGAACTTTGTGTAGGATTATTTCATACCTTATAAAATCCTTACAAATGAATCGAATTAAGATATGAAGATGTTACGTGTCTTATAAGCCTATATAGAAATCTTTACAACTCACACGTGTGTTATATGCAAGACCAACAAGAGGAAGGTGAAGCAAGAGCTGTAGGGGCTCGGAGATATAGATATCTCCGAGCCCTTACAGCTCTTATAATCTATATAATAAAATTTTAAATACGAGATCTAGAAAATCAGTTTAAATAATTTGCAGGTGTATAAAGGGAAAGGAAGGAAACGAGATAAACTAAGAGTACACGCCAGAAGTCCCAGCCCTAAGGCCCTATTACTCTCCTGAAGGCTCCCCCGTAGACCTATACTGTTCAATAACACTTTATTATAGATATGCAAGGCCTAAGGGACAACCCATACTAAATACGCTTCTATAGGATTAAACTGGGATGGGCATTAAGCTTATGCCTCAACTATAGTTTCATAAACAATAGCAATAAAAGTGTTAAACAACTCATAAATACCGAAAAGATGACTTATAAAATTACCGTGTATACTAATTTAGTACCGATACGAGAAATAAAAAATGAAAGAGGAAAATAACAATTCATAAATTTCCACCCCACTTACAACGTCACACGAACTTATTATTATTTCGAACACATTCTCACTTTAATACCAGCCACACAAACTTAGTATGCAAATTATGTGTTTGCTATTTGTGGGCGCGAACTTCTCGTTTGCTTCCTAAAATAAAAACTAAACTGTGATTTAGTTTTGAATATTAATGTATCTCGTTCCAAGGTTATCATTATCGGAAGTTTCGATAGGGAAATTAGGTTAGTAAGGGAAGACACATCGAAATATATCAGATAAATATGCCTGATAAAATTGTCTAAATATCTTATACACTCGTAAACGAGTCTTTAATTATGTTATGTACATCCCAATTAATATTGTACGCAACTTTTTCAAGCTTTATGATAAATATTTTACGAATAAATAACAGTTGTACTCAAGGTTAGTTGCTCGAAATACATCTTTTAATGGTCATTAAACATATTTATAATTAATTCTAATGCTCTTATATACTTAAAATGGTAGCATTTGTATAAAAATTTAAATTTTACCTCGTATTCTTCTAAAATAATTGAATGTAATTTATTTTGAGTTCGTGTAACTTTCGTTTCCTTGTTTATTTTCTCGTGTCATTTACTCGTTTTAAACAAGATTTTATGATAAAAAAACATTCTAAAGTATTGTAAATTTAATTAATGTTAACAATTAGAGGCAAATTTATTATTAACTTGTGAACTAATGGGAGTGTAGACTTACCTACCACAGTGTTTCTCAACCTCTAACGAATCGTCGCCCCCTTCACTACAAAATATCGATGCCCGGGGCCAAGACTAACGCCAAATTCGTACTACATCGAATAGACTAGTGACTGGTATAATGTTATTTGTTTAATTATTGTACGATATAACGAATAAAATATATAATTATTCTTAATATACTGTTTTACTATATCGTCCAGAAAATTGTTTTCGCCCCCCCCAAAATGTAAATTGTTACTAATCGCCTCTCAACATGAAAAAAACCCCACTTAAGGGCGAAATCTTCTTCGTTGAGAGAAACATTGTTCTAAATAATCCGCCAACACTTTACTGCTATGAACTAAATTAAGCGAAAGTCCAGGTATTCAAGTAAGTATCTTTATCTGTGCATTAGTCTCTTCCGGTAAGGGCAACACCACTAATTATAACAAATAAACTGTAAAATCGGCTTTAAGGTCATACCCCTGCCATTGAAATGAAGCCTGTCAATAGAATAAGTAAGTAACCAGGTGCGTTAATTTCACGCGAACCGTTGGAAATTGATGAACCTTCCCTTTAATGAAGTTTAACAGTAGAAAACAGTTCCCCTGAGACCGGAGTGCCTACCCATTCATTCCAGTGTCAGGTATTTTCACATAAGAACGCGTATAGTTCTACTTTAGGGTGTGTAAATGTGTAGTATCTTACGTTAAGTGAGGATCTTTATTATTAAATAGGTCAATATA